CCAATGTTCAGTTTATTTTTTTAATCAACAAAACTATCACACTAAAAAAAATATTATTGTTACTATAAGTACTTCTATTAAGCCCTTAAATGCACAAATTTCTAAATCATGTTATATATTCTCGCATATATAAAAAAAAAAAATCAATTTCGGAAGCTCATTTTCAGATTCTACTAAATTACTATTTGGTCTGAAAATTAAGTTCTGATGTGATTTTTTAAAAAATGTTCTCTAATATTTATACTAAACGATTTAACAAAATATGTTTTTTCCTTTGACGTAATAGATAATTAAGAATCTATAATTATAGCAGATTTTCAAAGTATTTTTTATTGACACGTTATGGAAATATACAAAATTTAACGTCAAACTTCCCGAGGTTTTCAGTTAACGAATGGTAAATTAACATGGAATCATTTTTTCCGAAGCTAAAGTGTATAAATGAATATTTATACACAAATAAATTTCTCATGCTATAATTAGCATTATTTACGCCTTATTGTTAATGTTATATTATGTAAAAATATTTTGAAATGATTGGACTGTTAATTTTTTAACTTAATATATTCTTTCATGTTTCATCTATCAGAACTTACATTTCATAATTTAAAGAAAAATCTTTTTCTGTATGAAATATATGTATTTTTTTTGTGTTATTCTGAAAATGGTTTAACAGAAGGCTAAAATTGTACTATCTTCGAATCATGGTTTGTTTGTTTAGTACGTAAACGAAATACATGATTTTCTCCAAGTCTTCGTGAGAAATTCGCGATATGAACTGTTTTGCTGTGTTTAAACCTTATAAATATTATGGACTTGAAATAAAATTGAATTATTATGCGAGAAATATTATAAAAATGTGTTATATGTTTGTAAGTGCCTCTTACTGATACTAAATCGTTTTGTTGTAATAAATTAACTCTTAATATACTTTACTATCGGGGAATCAGAACCCACAACTAACCCTTGAGATTATAGCTAATGATGTGATCATTAATTTCTTTTCAAATAGAATAAAAGCAAGTTGCGAGCACGTGGAGCCGCCTTATTGCTCAGCCATTGCGTGGGAAGCCTGGCGGTTGATGACGAGAACTTTTGTCAATTCCAATTCTAAATGTCAGCCGTTAGATAAAGTACAGAAGAAAAATGTAAAAATAATTATCTATTCAACTACTATAAAAATAATTGTAAATATAATTAAATAATCCAATCCTTTTATTTAGAAAGAAACGGTTGAGAAAAAACTTCAGTATATTAAATATTTTTTTAAAGTATATAGTTATTGGTATTACTCATTATTTAAATAAAATAGTTTATAACAAAATAAAGAATCATTATTTCAAAAATTATTCGTCATCAACGATTATTCACGAATCGAAATAAAATTTGTCCTTTAAACTTTTATATATTTTAATTCTTCAATCTATTTATTTTATTTTATGAAATATAGATTTCTATCTTGCACGAATTTTTGTAATTCATCTAATGATTTTATTGACATATTTATTAACAAATATTTTTTACTTTTCTTAGTTTTTTAAATATTTTTTACTTTAAATTATTTTGTTTGTTTAGTCTTAGAGGGTTGAATCCCAGAAGCCTATTTGAAATGAGTTTATTTCTTAATTGAAGGCAAATGATTAGGAACGCTGACTGAATCTTTCGCAGTAGTAATCCTATATTTAAGTATCAGCAATTTATGTCTGTCTGTTTGTAAAAGGAATTTCAAAATCGTGTGGAATGATTTTTCATAAACTTTTTTTATATATTTTTTTACTCGAATTTCCACTTTTGCGTAACCAACATGATGGTTATAATTAAGAAAAAGCTAAAAAACATTTTTAATTTCGAGTTGTGCTAATCTTCTACCAATAACGTATATAACCTTTTCATCCAATCAACGTATAATATTGAATATTTCTTCTGATGAATAATATTTTGTACTACTAGTAATATTAGTGTTTCCCAATAAATGTTTCCCAATAAATAAAGTATTATTATTATTATTATTAAATGCGAGATCAAGAAGAGTCTAGGTACCGTGCACTCATTCCTTGGTCTTGCAGTTACCTATTGGCTTATTGCTTTTTACTCAACATGTTACTTGAGATCTTAGGGAAATGGCACAGAACAGGTACATTTTTTTTAGTAGTTTTGTCAGTAATTTAATATCGTTTTAAAAAATGTTACCACTACATATCTTAGAGTTATTACTGCCATTTTTCAGGATGGAGTAACTTAACTAAACCCCGATTAAAAATTGAAAGAGTTACATTCAATAGTATATTGGTTCTACCAATTCTTTATATATAGTAACTAAAATTGTCTGGTATATATAACTATTTTGCCTTAATTTTTATTCACAAAAACACATTTTTTTTACCAGTCTTGGTCTTGATCTTGCGAAATCAAGACTGATTTTGGACAACACTAACTAATATGTTGTTAAATTTTAACATTTTTATTCTTACTAGTGTTATTGTCGGATGTTTAATAAAGTGGTTAACTTGTTGAGTCAATCCATTTCCATTCAGACCAGGAATCCCTTGGTTTAAGATTTTTTTTATTTGCCCCATTGCCATATAAAATTATATTTTGTTGTCTTGAATACGTTTTGAAATATCAATTTTCAAAAAAGTTTGAACAAAGTCTTCTTTATACTACTCAGAACTACAGCGTCCTTGACTTAGTTTAGGTCACTATAATTATTGTCCACGAGATAGAATATTATATATCTCAATAAATATATAAATAAAAAATTCAAAACTTCGGCAATATTGGTTACATGACTTCATGTGACAATGAGTTATATTCACATGTGGTTTGTAACCGCTTGTAGGTTTGTAACAATTTTTGGAACGAACGGTTAGACCAATTTTTAATTTCGATAGCTCGATGTGTTTTGAAACAATTGGGACTCAAAAACAATTTGTTGAGTTCTACCAATGGGTAGTTTCTCTTCATATTGTACATGTCATGTTACCAATATCACATTTACTTGTTGCATTTTCTATGTAATGCAGTTGTAAATTTCATTAAAATAAATAAAAAAACAAAACAAATTGTGTAGGTTTCGCATCATACTTTAACGGTATATAACGATTTTTGAATGGAAAATTATACATAAATAAAATTAAAAAAGAAAAATGTATTAATAAATTTACTGAATCGAATGTGAGCTGTCTGTGAAAACAATTGTTAGATTTATGTATAATTATCAAATACGGCATGTAAATGAGGGTTGAAAATAATATAATAAAGTGATTAATACAAATCAAAAAAATAATAATATTAAAAATTTACAAAAATAATTTAAAAAATAAATAAAAGGTCGTGATGGCCTCGTGTGTTAATGCGTAAACTATAACATTATCGAGTCTAGCGACGCTGGTTTAAATACAGCTTGTACAGGTTAAATTTATTTCGTAGAGAACCCACGGAATAAATTTCGACCTTCCCACTCTGATTAGAATAGGTTTGGTCGTACCTCTAGAAATAAACAATTCTTTTTTTCGAATTTTATTTATTTATTATTTTAACCCTCATCTATATGCTTAACTGGATAAATAAAAATATTAAGCTCAACATTGTTTTGATTTCTGCGATACTATACTGACATTTATAAATATATATTTATTTATATTACATTATATATTCTTTAATATATATATATATATATACATACGTGGGGGTGTTTACAGGGAGCTGCGCGGGGTTGAGGGAGAGAGGAGAGAAAATATCTAGGACAGTGGATCGATGGGTGGCCTTGGCACCCCTGACCCACCCTCCCTTTGTGCCCCCTCACAGCTTCCTTTTTAGTCTCTTTCTTTTTTAGTCCTTTTATAATTAACCATTGTTAATTACAACCCTTACCCCTACGCATCTCCTCTCGCCTCATTATAATTATAAAATGCTTCATCTGTTGCTTCCATCTGCGTCATGTTATCGAATACGATTTACACTGTATTAATTTTATAATTTTATTTTACTGAAAAATTCATTGATTTAAAGTCGGATATATCTTTTAATAATTCGAAACAAGGTCATGAATCACCGAACAATAATTATTGATAGAAACATATGTTAAGAGATATATATTCATTCCATTCGGTCAGCCAGCCTTTAGAATAAAACACAATAAAATCAAATAAATGATATTAATAGTTATAAAAAATTTGATAAACATGAAAATAAAAAAATATAAATATACACACAATTAAAAATCAACATTGTTTACTAGCCTTGATATCGGAGAATATTTCAATAAATAAATCTAAAAGATTTTCCTATAATAGCGAAAAATATAGACGATAATCAATAATTATATTGTCAGAAGAATAAAATACAGTTAATTTTCTTTCATATTCTTATTCAAAATATTTATATTTACATTGATTACTTATTTTACAATCTTAATTATCATTAGTATTTTTAATGGAATTAAACAGTTGAAGTTTCTCTAAACTCACACCATTAAAAAAAATAATATTGTTTATTAGCCTAGAAATTTGATAATGTTTTCATATGTAAAACTAAAAGTATTAATATCGTTCATAGAAACAGTCGTTCAATATTTAAATTTTATAATGGCTTTGTGATTTAAATTTTAACGATTTGTGTATAAATTTTGAAATACAATTATGATCAAATAATGGAACTTCATTTCTACAATTAATAATTCTATTTCAATTCTGGATTGAGGCAGCACATATTTTTTTTTTTTTTAAAAAGCTTCATTTTAATCATGAAAATTGTGGCAAAGCAAGTGTCCTAGATCCAGATAAAAATCGGAAAAATAAATAATTAGGGACATTGTCAATATTATTTCTTATTCGTTAAAGCTGATGAGTATACTACATCATCTGGTTGAGATGATGTTAATAATTTTGTTCGGAGTTGTTTCCTACTCGGCCTTTCCTCGCTTCTTTATTTAGCTTAGTCACTTAACAATAATACTACTAGTTTAGTCAAATGGTTACAATTGGTGGTTTCTGTTTCAGCGGTTCGAGCGGATAGGATGAGAGGTGGAAGGAACAAGTTCGGACCAATGTACAAGAGGGATCGGGCGAGAAAGTTGCAGATGATCCGGCAGCGGCAGATGGCCATCCAGACCCTGAGGAACTCCTCGGGGTACACCAGCGGCAACGGCGGCAGCGGGGACGCTGTCACGTTGAGCTACACCAGCCCCGGATCCAACTTCGGCGCCCTCCAGATCAAGCAGGAGATCCAGATCCCGCAGGTCAGCTCGCTCACCTCCTCCCCCGACAGCAGCCCCAGCCCCATCGCCGTGGCCCTCGGCCAGCAGCAGCAGCAGCAGCAGACCAGCATGTACTCGGCCGTTCTGCCTGCCCAGCAGCTCCAGATCCCCGAGCAGAGGGTCACCCAGCAGGTCTTCGAACAGTCCAAGCTCTGGCCGACCAACTCACCACCTCCCCAGAAGAGCTTCAGCTACGAGGGCCCGTCCTCCGGCAACAGCCAAGGGAAGGTTAGTCCCATGATCCGGGACTTCGTTCTAGCGATAGACGACCAAGAGTGGCAAAATTCACTCTATAATCTCCTTCAAAACCAAACGTATAACCAGTGCGAGGTGGACTTATTCGAACTCATGTGTAAAGTGTTGGACCAAAATCTGTTTTCGCAAGTAGATTGGGCCAGGAATTCGACCTTTTTCAAAGACCTCAAGGTGAGTACCTTAAGAGTATATTATTACTATCTTGTAGTTCTATTCATGCCTAACGTATCACACACCACTGCTGATAGGACACACGCTTATGGTATAAAACTATCGTATGATCGTTGCATCCTTAATGAATTATAATTGATTGGCGCGAAAATTCAAAAATAGACTCAAACAATTATAATTAGTTCATATTGGAAGTATCCAAACAAACTGATCGGTAAACTATTCGCAAATGCGGACATCATAAGACAAGTACAAAATCATGTAAATGCAGAACGGATGCAGTGCATCTTGTTTCAAAAACCTACGAAAGACTTGACAAATAGAAGTACCACGTCACAACGAAGTACAAATATATATTAAACTTTTTTGGCGCGTTGTAATACTTCTATATTTGGTATAGACTTTTTTTGCCATTGAAGTGAGCTAAAGACTATATCTAGTCTTCATTAATGTAATTTCGTGTTTGTAGAAAATGATTATTAATATTATTAAAGATATAATAAAGCCATACCAACTTCCTCTTTCTTTCTTCCGGATTTCTCTGTTAGCATCGCTGTCACAACTCATCATACTTCGTAATTTATTAATTTTAATTAATCTCATGGTTTCGTATTAGATTGTGAAAAATGAATGTTTAACAATATCTGTTATAATCTTCTAGTCACCGTACTGTTTCTTTCTCTTCGTTTCCTGTCAAACATATTCATCCGTGGTCCAAGGACTCCTCTCGGAACTTCATTATGATACGGAATTCATGATTTTTTATAAAAAATAAGTTCGCTCCGGCTATGTATGTTTCTGATTGTGCATTGTTGGAAAAAGAAAATTATTGCTTAAAGCAAAAGAAATTTATCTTTGCCAAATACATTACCGAACGTTAATGAAAGTTCTAAACTTTTGTTATATCTGCACGCGCGTCAATTTTCGCTTTTTTTGTTGTTGTTAATTTCAGTCATCTGATGACAGTTACAATTATTTTTATGATTCTTCATTATTTTAGTAATTACTGTCCTAACTTATAAATACTGGACTTATTAAAATTAATTAAACAAGTATAAGTTTAAGTTACTTTAATAACTTACTTTTAATAATGATATAAAGAGAATTAAATTTTTTTTTGCCAATTAAGATAATAAGTTTTATTAGGGAGCTCATTATAAATCTGAAAATATGTAACTAAAATCTCCTTAATCCTTACTTATATAAAAGTAATCATCGTATATTGATTTTAATCATCATGTTCATTTACTTGATTGAAAAACATTTAATATTTTGGCTTATGTATAGTTCAAGATTATACTGTTAGGCATTATAATTTTTTGCTGTTACTAAATTATAGTGTTTCGCTAACAAAGCTGTTGTATAAATTTGTTAACTCGATCGGTGACTTCCTATTGCTATTGTAGTGTAATTTAGTTAGTGTTTTATACCTTATTTATCGTAATACATGTAACTAACATTTTTTAATTATGTTAAGAAAGTTTTCACCAACTATAATCAAAGTATAAACCACCGTGTGACGGAATCTAAGCTAATATTGAGACAATATTTCATCAATAGCAATAGCTGGTCTCCGAACAAATTACAAAAATAATAATAATAATAATAATAATGATAAAAATCAGATTGTAATTTCATTTTGAAATAACTTTATATTTCTATTGAAAAGCATAATAATATATTTATTTATATATCTTTATAAATAAACATACCATTAAGTATGAACCTATGAAAGGTAAAGCCTACATAGACCATGGACCATGTGGCTGCGTTACAAGAATTCTGGTAAGTATTTAATATCATAATTATCATTAAGTACATTTTAATATATTTATAAGTTATATTCTCCGATATTTATACATTTTAAAAACACCAAAATAACGTTAGTCAATTATAAATTATAATATGGATGATGTTTCCTGAAAAACATGTATCCAATTATATAAGATAGTTTTAATTTTTATATTATTGTCATTACAATTTCATACAGATACTTTATTTGATTCCTAATATAACATTAAACAAGTGCGTGGTTTTAAAACTAATAGGTTGTATAAAAAAAATGACCGTTTATCAACCAAATATTTGTATTATTATTTCTTTGATGTCAAATACAATTAATACTCAAAGTATAGTCCATTGTTATCTATCGTCATTAGCCATCTGCTAGCCAATGCTCGATCCTACGCTGATACCATTCTTTGGAATGACTTTCAAAGAACTCTTGGACCGCAATTACAACTTCCGCAAAATTAACAAATTTTTCCCTTAAAGAAAATGGGCCATGGTATCCGATATAAGTAGTAATCCGATGGTGCGAGGTCTGGACAATATTGTGGTACTATAAAATCTCATATTGGAAGGGTGTTTCAATAAATGTTCACAAATCTCTGATTGCTGAGGAATAAGTTCGTGAGGGACCCACCAGTCTACTGCTCTTTTTCACATTCCCTGGCAAATTCGCGAGTACTTGTGGACGGATTTGACTAAACAGTTTCCTGCAGAACCTCATCAATGTCCATTAATGTCCCTCAGAGCCTGTCTTGTTCTTCAACGTCATATCTTCACTGCTAAATTTTACAAGCCAACGCCGCGTAGTGCGCTGGTCAAGGACACCTTTCCCTTCATGTTTAATAATTTCACGAATTTCTTCAGCTGTTAATTTTGTTTTTCTGTAATGCTTTAAAATTGCGAGAATTTCGTAGGACACTGTCATGTTTCTTCTTTGAAACAAATAACTAAACTGAAGTTTTTTTTTTAATAAGTCGAATGGGATTAAACAAGCTTAGGGAATGCTCTAAAGGTATTATTAAGTATTGGTAAGTATTAAAATATTTACAGTCCTTTGAAATTTTGAATTTGATAAAATGGTCATTTTTTTTATACACCCTATTATTAACTGCTGTTCTAAGTGTTTTTTTTTTTTTTCAAATACTAACCATATAGTATTTTTTTAATTGAATGCTCATAGAACCTCTTCCATTTTTAGAAAATAAGTTTATGACACTAAATTTAATTAGGAATGTGATGTTGGTTGTATTTATAGAAACTTTCCACTCCCCCTCCCTCCTCCCGAGCTATTTAATTGCTCACCTTTTTTTAAAAACAGAGCAAATTAAGGTAGAATTAGAAAAATCGTAGATCATACAATTACACTTTCTGCAGTTTGTTCCATGTTTTCTCCTTGTCCCTTAGCACGAAACTTTTCATTCCGAAAATTAATAACTCCGCCGAAATGTGCCCACTCAAAAATTCAAGCCCCCATCTGGGCACCCTGGTTTCATCTACTGATATTGAATCAGTTCATATTAGTTTCTTGAGGAAAATATTTTTCAGAAATAAAAAAAAAAAAAAATAATGGGCTGATTGATGTCATTAGGACGTGATTTAAAAACTTAATCTCAAGAAACTATCTGTATATCATTAGCATTTTTATTCATTTAAATTTTCGTTGTTAATAGGAATTAGAGTAGTATTAAATATTTTGTTGGCATGGATTATTCAATTGGAAAGATTCTGTTCAATTTATTAAAACATAACTTTTTTAAAAGGTGATGTATTTTTTTTTTTATCATTGTCTATTTTAGTATAGTATATGAGAATTTATACACACATTTGTATGAAATAAAAGGAAAAAATAAGGACTCAATTTTGGAATGAACTGGTATACAAGAAGCTAATGTATTGAATAAGATTTGAAGAACTTAAACTGCACAATTAGCTCACTTAAATTTCAACAGAGCTTCTGTAATGGAATTTTTGACGTATGTTCTACACTTTCTATTTGGAACAAATTCCAAAAAATAAACGATAAAGAACTATCCTTATTTTTCCCCAATTTCAACTTCCGATATTGTTTTTGCAAAACAGATGGTTGCTGGTGGAGTATCTTTTCAATAGAGACAAGATCTACTGAATCGGTATCATTTGGTTAATTTTCTTTATTTCTTTCCAAATTGAAATGTTAAATAATTGTTTTTTATTTTCTGATTTATTAAAGTAGCTTAAAGTTTCACGAGGTTTGGTGAGCTCCTTGCCAAACCTAAGATCGTCGATCTTTGCTATGTGTGTCTACCGCACTGTTTTTAAATGGTTACGCCTTATCTTTTTTTGGGTTCGAGCATTATTAAGAAACATTTCGATACTTAAATGTTTTATTTTCGTATCGACGCTTAGTAAGTTGTTTGGATCGGTATAAAACTGGCGCCTGGTTAATGTTTCTCGTGTCTTTGTCATTATGGTAAATTATGATTCCCTACGCAGAGAGCGGTAACCTGTGTGACAGGACTACTCATTAAGAGCCGGGAGGTGTGTGTAAGGGAAGAGTGGAGGGGTGAGGTTGCAGGAGGTTGGTAAATGGTTAAAAAACCATGGCGGCACCCCCTCCATTGTTTCTAAATCTTTCGCAAGTGTGAATTTGCCAAGAGGGGTGGGGAGGTATTTCCAAGGTCCACCTTTTTAGAGGTACGCATTAACATTTTACCTATTTCTAGTTTACCTCTGATTATTCCTGACGTAACCCCCGACAGGTCTCCAGAATTCGTTTGGCAGGTGGTTTCGTTCTTGGAGTCGATAATGAAGGTTGTTATGTAAAATAGTTATAAAATCGTAAATGATAAGAAATTTATTATCACTATCGGCCCTTTGTGAAGTTGAGGATTTCATTTAGTCAAGGTTATTTGTCATATATTGTCGTATTGGTGGATATGCGAGGGAGAGGAAACTTGCAGACTAAAGCCCCTCCCCACAAAATTTGAATTTTTTTTTCTTTTTAATTGGTGCATATTTTTAACTCTGGATGATCTGAATTAAATATGTAAACAATAAAAATATTTAGATTATCTTTTTAAGTTATAACTCATGTATTTGATCTACTAAATGGAAGCACCCTGTCAAGTAAACAATATAAAACGTTTATCCCTAAAAGCATTATTATTCCTGTAAAGTTTTTTATTTTGACAGGCATTCAAGGACTATAAACATTATTTTATATAGTGTCT